CTCCATTTTGTGCTGGAACAACGCTGCCAAATGATGTCTTTGCACATCATTTCGTAGCGTTCGATCCATACTGATCATTCGCCACCTCGCCAATTGCGATAGAATCGTAAATTCGGACAAATATAGTGTACTTTGGTGAAATTATGGATGAATGATTTTTTCTGCTGTGAAAGAAAATATATATATTCACCTCGATTTTGAAAATGACGCCAAAATGCATTTTTCTGAAGAAATGTATTTCTTGTTCGATTACAATAATATCTGTTAGAAACGTCGCATAACCAATTAGAATTATATAAAGTTCTCCAGGTAATGTAAAGCAACAAGGGAGATGATGTAAGTATGAAAAGAAGTACCGTAAAATACAGGTGAGCCGGTTCGTTGCCGGATCACACGATATCGAGGAGCGAAATTTTTCCTGTAGTTGTCAGTAAAAGAGATTAAGTAGAAGCCAAGATGCCTATTATCTGTCAACTATTTGTTACAAAAAATTTGTTTTCATATGCTGTTTATTTAAATAAAATAATTGTAAAAACTGGAACGGTTGCTAAAATAAAAAAATTAAACTTTAATTTTATCTTTATAAATTACCACTCTTAAATGACACATAACCACCGCCACTCTGCTGGCAATGAACGTGTTCATCCTCCGCCGAAATTTCGATCAAAAAAATCTCTGTGAGTAGTATAAAAATCTATAAAACAGAAAATAAAGTAGAATTAAATGATTTAAATAACTCCTCTTCTACTATCATCCTTTTTTTTCTGAATAATTACGATTGTGACAGCAAAAATAAGTGAGATAGTAAAAAAATTTAAAAATACAAGACTTAAAGAAGGGAACGAATGATTTAAAATGAAAAATATTAATCGAAAAAATAGTCGGAATCTTAAAAAAAAAAAAAAAAAAAAAAAAAAAAAAAAAAAAAAATCCCTCATGTTTATGTTTTAGTTTAAGTCTAAGAAATTATCAAAAATTAACCTTAAACTATTTCTTTTCTTCAAAGACGATAAACAACCTTTTACGTTCATTTATATTCTCTCCCCCCAACCCTAAAATGACTTTTGATTTGAATTTCTATTTTTAAAAAAAATAGTTCATCTTAAAATAAATTTGTATTTTGGTTTGACACATACAAAAATTGATAAAATTTGTCTTTGATTAAGAATTTTGAAATTCGTCTAATACTTTTGATATTTGGCTAATAATTTAAAGTTCCTAGCGCTAGCTTTGTTGATTACTTTACTTCCTGTTTTCACCCTCTACCAAAAACGTGTGTTCAGCTAGTATAACATAAAGGAAACCATTTTTATGTGAACTACTTGAATTTTGTTTCAGTCTCAAAAGTTATGACAATTGCGATAAACCATTTCTGCATTGTTAGACTAAAAAAAAAAAAAGTTTTACTATCCATTGGTAAAATGGGTCTTGGTTTGGATTAGTTAGCGGCTTCGCACTTTTCAACTACTATAATCAAGAGTAATAGTCAGCAGTGCACACGCGTCGTCATTGCATGCGTTGCGATGGCGACAGCAGCTGATTGATAATTTTTTTAGAATTCATTTTTTCACTTTTAATTTTGTTATGCATTAAGTGGGTGAGTTTATTTTTGAGATATGGGACCAGAGAAATCCCATAACTACTTCTTGAGTTGTGAATAAAAGAGAATTTCATCATTTGAACGATATTTTTGCTTTTCTTGTTTTAATTAAGAATCAGAAATTCTAACCTACTGTTCAAACTGGATCGTTTTAAGTACTAATTCAGGAGAATATCGCTTATAAAGAAGGTTCAAACTGTTCTCAAAAGTTAGAGATGAAGCAACAAAAAAAAAAAAAGAAAAAAAAAAAAAAAAAAAAAAAAAAAAAAAAANAAAAAAAAAAAAAAAAAAAAAAAAAAAAAAAAAAAAAAAAAAAAAAAAAAAAAAAAAAGCCAAAGAACGTAGACGGGAATACCTTAAGCGTTACACACAAACGTAAGAACGAAAGGATTCCGTTCGCAAACGCATGCGTGAAGCCCGTCCCTCACAATAGTACTTAAGTGGTTGAGAGAATTAAACCCTACCGAAGAGCGAATGGCGTCTCTGCGTACCCCTTTCATGCAAATACGAGAACTGGGTGTTGATCACCAGTTAGGGATAAAAGGATCCATTGTCAACGTACCCAAAGACTTGCACAAGACCATAGACTGTCTTCCACTCAACATAAATGATTCATTCACAGTTCATGTAAAATTGAAAAAAAGCCTAGTTTTCAAATCATATTTCATGTATGAACTTGTGAATCCGAACGGGTGCAATATGCAGCTGACAATTTCCTACAAACACCATTGTACCCATCCGAAAATGTTAATATTGATCTTGATTGGATGCTCAATGTCTATTCAGTCATCAAAAGAATTTACACAGAATGTGTCTGAGCTGCATTCAAATATGTCTGCGAAATGAAGTACCGAGCAGTTCAGGATTAACAGTTAAAGATGTCCAAGATGAAAACACAATAAAGTTACCTTTCCACAAAAAATTCGACAACAACCATTTTGTCAATGGGTTATTTGTGATTCCCTTGCGGAGACCACAATTTTTTTATTTTTTACAATTTTTTTCTCCTTTTTTTATTAAAAAAAAAGAGGTAATTTGAAATGTGTAAGTTCCATTGACATGTAATTTAGAACACATAAATGATTCTCCTTACATATGTTTGTTAGGAGTAGAGTTGATCAGTTATTAAAACTTTTTCAGCCAAATTAAAAAGAAATTAATTGCATGTTTTAATAATGTTTCCAAATGTGTTGCAAATTGCATGAAAATCAGTGTTATGCCCAGTGCATTATTTGTCCCTAAGTTCATTATTTACAAACACTAAGTGCAATAATAATAATAATAATAATAGTTTGTAGCAAAGTTATGTATTTTTTTTCAACTATACAGGGTGTAAAAAAAGTTTATAATCTAGATCATAAATCTAGAGGAATACAGATCAGATCGGTAAGTGAAACTTTAAAAGCTATCCAATGATACTAATCTCGATCTTTCAACCCCAGTCCCGCGAGTGGAGAGGAGGCAGCTTTGAAATCTTAAATATGAGCCACTCATTTTTATTACAGATTCGGATTCTCCAGATGAAAGTAAACCTACTTGAGGTTAGATTTCTGACTTTTGCTTCATAAGTGACAAAAAAATTAAAAAGGATATAAATTATTTAAAATGGTGGTTACTCGTGACCCATCCAATAGAAAAAAAAAATTCGGTATTTGTTTTAAAAAACAAATCTATAAATTTTTTTTCAACGTGTCTATTTTTATCTTCTTGATCCGATGGGTCTCGAGTTGATGGATCACAGCTTTTTCCCTATTTTATTTTCCTCGGTTACAGCATCATCCGTAAGGCAAAATGCATAAACCTGCAACTCAAATGAATTAATTTTTCCCCCGGAGAATCCGAAGCTGTAGTAAAAAAGTAGGGGGCTTCACACTTAAGATTTGAAAGTTGTTCCCTAGGGCCTGGGGGTGATAGAATTCACTTTGGTATGTTTGCATAACTTTTAAAAAGTATTGAATGTGACTATTTCACAGTTTACAAACGTTTTTCACATCCTGTATGTATGTATACAGGGGGTGAATAAATTAGATCATGCGATTTATCATACTTATCAATGACATTTAAAGCTTTTTAGAGGTTTAAGAGACCGATAATCAATTACAAACGGAAAATAATGTTTTTGAACACCCTATGCTAAAAAATGTAACAATTATTTTGGTTATTATATGTAGTAATCGCACAAAATTTCGTAAGCATAGGTTTAATATTTATAGAGATAAGCACACTTTTATAAAAAAATAAACTTCTTTGTTTTATGTTTTTTTTTCTCGCTACAACCTTAAAAATATTCCATAAAATGTTTAGAGCAGTTTAAAATTAAATAAAAATTTTTTGTTTTGAAATTTGAAAAGAATTCGTTGAAAACTGCGTAATATGTAAGTAATTGTCTTTTATAGTGCGTATGAGCTGGAAAAATTTTAATTTGTTTTTCTTAATTTTGTAGCATATATCGTCTTTTAGAACTAATAAAAAAAAAGCTTGATTTGAATATCTTTAAAATTTAAAAAGTTTCAAATCAGTTTTCTAGTATATTACGTACTTTAAAGTATACGTACGTTGATAAAGATTTTCCACAAATTTTATTCTGTACTATTAAACAAGATTTACCAAAAATAGGGATCATCTCTCATAAAAGCATTTTTTCTTTTGCATGTTTTCGTTCCTTATACAATCATATTTCGGTGTATGAAAGTTTATTGTAAGCAGGATGCGTAATCAGATTTTTCAAGAAAAAATAAGCACCTTTTAAGCACTTTTTAAGTACTCAAAAATATTTTTAATCACTTTTCGAAAAAAAAAAATTTATAGTTAAGATATATGCAGTAATAATTTTTTTTTATTTCTATTGTTTAAAGTTCTTAATTTTTAAACATAAAATCTACAAAATTTAAAAACATCTTCAAAACATTACATAGTCATTATAAAATAACTAGTTTCTGATAAATATTGCAGAAAAAATTATGAAAATCATGCTTTTTTGTAATTTATGACGACAATCGAAACTGCAAAGAAAAAATCTCCTTTTGAAAGATAAAAAATTAAGCACTTTTAACAATCCACCAATAAAAAAAGCGCTTTTAAGGGCTTTGAAAAAACTTATATAAAAAATAATCACCTTTAGGCACTTTTTAAAAATGCTACGCACCCTGGTAAGGTATTATCATTTGTTATTTAATTTTTTCTTATGATCCATTAGTTGGCCTTAAAACGAATTCGAGTCGGGTTATTTTGCATAATCCATAACCCGCCATAAATCTATCGCTCGCTATAGCCGTGATTAAAACAATTCGGTTTCATTTTCATCATCAAGTTTTTTTAATTAAAGTATAAAATTAAAAATCTATAAGGTAATAAATATTTCTTAATATATTGCGTGAAAAAAAAAATAGAATGGACTTACCAACTATGTAATCATATTCCAAATCAATTCCAATAGTTATAGGGGGCACAAAACTATTATCTGAAAATATATATAGGAGTGCAAGAAGGGAAAATACAGAAGGAATAAAAGATAAAAGCGTTGTATCCATAATTCAGATTACTTTCCATAATCCATTAACTGTTCTGTAACCGTTTACCGGCGCTTGTCATTTCTAAGAGATGGAAAAGAAGGAGTTTATCATAACCATAACGTTTAACTTCTGAGCTTTAGAAGTTAGAGAAAGCTAATGAAAAGGAATCGGAGTGAAAAGTTATTCATTAAAAAACGTCGCCAAATTCACCCAAGCGATTCACCGCCAAAAGAACTCTGGTTTTTTGATGGAATATTATAAATATTTACGAATTTCGCACTTTGGAATAAAGGGAATATTATAGGAAGGTCAAAATCATTTAAATTTTTGCATTCGTTTGTAAAGTGTTTCATAAAAGTTTAAACTAAAATGAATACATGAATGATGTTCAACAATATTGAAAAAAAAATCTATTCCGGTGTTTTGTGTGTGATCTGGTATTAACAAAGAGGTGCAGATATTATTTAGACGCATCACTAACAGTGACAAACTTTAGATTCATTAAAATATGTATTTTATCTATTTTTAATTTTTTACCCATTAATATTACGCGAAATACTAGCCATATAATTGATATTGAAAAGTCATAATACTATATGCAATATATAAAAAATACAATATTTAATGAAAAATTATGTAATTTAATTAGTTCTGATACTGTTTTGTTATAATTATCTTTATCATTTATTGTAACAAATCTTCAATAAGCAAAGTTAGTTTTTTTTTAAAATTCTTTTTATATCAAGAATGTTAAAGCTGAACTAATTAGATTTATATTTTTCCCCTTTCTATTTATATCTCATGAAATAAAAGTCACAAAATCGATGTTGAAATACCATCCTATTGTACAATATGCAAGTAATTAAAAAAAATAACGCTTTGAAAAAGTACGCGATTTTATGAGCATCTAAATTGCGTTATTAAAATCAATGGAATGCATGAATGTGCATAATATAAATAAATTTAATCCATAACATAGTTTATTTTATAAAATGCATACCATGAACTTAGTTTCAATTTATCTATCCAATGCTCCAATGATCACAGTAACCGTTAATACATAGTTATAATCAATTCATCGCAGTTACAGATAATATATAACAATTAAAGTGTTAATTTTATCATTTATTACAATAAATATTTATGGAATAAATCTGTTTATTTTAATGAAGAATGTTATTAGAAATGGAATGGACATGAGTTAATTTTAATGGACATTACTTAAACATAAAATTGTTGTTTATTTGAATATATTAAGTAATTTTGTACATATTTAATTACATGCTTGAATTTATTTGAAGGAATGTAGTTTTGAAAACTCTGAAAAGGAAGAAAATAAATAAATGCAAAAGTAGAATTATTATTTTTATATTGGCAAATATAACAAAACCCCAGGTCAAACATAGACAGAGGCAGGTCAGTAGGATTTTATGGCAGGACAGGTGGAGCAGCTCTGCAAACGGGAGACACACACACTATTTGATACCTACAGTTAACGAATGTTTTTTATCCAGCGATTTTTACTTTAATCAGTTTTTAGCTTCCCATGGTGTATTTGGCGATCACCAAGCTAGGATGTTTCAAAAATCCTCCGCGTGTAAATATTGCGGTCACTATCAGACTATTAAACATCTGATGCTTGACTGTCAAAAATTTGCAACCATTAGGAGAAATAGTTTTGACAGAAGAGGCGACATAAGATCTTGGTGCAGGACTAATAAACAGAGGCAAATTATTAAAAACATCATTAAACGCACCCTGGAGGACGCACTCGCCCCTGATGACATTTTGGATCCGCTCTACACGAACTAAACTCAGTCCCGGTTGTTGGGCTGCCCGCCTGTTCGCTTCCCGTTATTTTGACAACGTTTTGTTGTTTTATCTATCTCATTCGCTTTTTAATTCTGTTTTAATCTATTTATTCACTACATTGTGCTTTTTAATTGGCTTATTTACATTGCCTTTCCTTGCTTTGCAAATTTTAGCGTCGCCTTTTAATTGTATTTGATAATTGTTTGTTTTACCACTTTACATCTTCACCTCCTTTTGTTTTACATTTGAGATTTTCTTGGCTCATTACGCCTTGTTCTTCTGTCTTACCTGTTGTCAATTTGTCATCGACTGTATTGGTTCTTTGACCTATATTAACTTGGGACCTCCGTTTACCTGTGACCTTTTAATGTTTTCTTATGTTCACTTCAGGTACACGTTTTTTTTAATGGTTCACTTTATGTTTTACTGTTCTTGAATACATCAACAGTTTATACTTTGTGTCCTTTATATCCTGTCACAATGTTAATGATCGCTTTGGTTTAGCGACCCAACTTACTCCGTAATATTACTCGTTTTAATCCTATGTACTGCCTGCACATGATGCATTGTATGTCATACTGTACTTTCCTGCGATGTGTTGTAAAATTTTTCATTTGTGTCTTTGGCTCACTATAAGGGAAGCCCCGTCGGCTTCGGCACTATAAGGCGGGACTCTCGGAGCATTTTAATTATTTTACTGCTGTTGCCATCAGACTCTGTAATGTTTACATAATGTTACTCTGTAATGTTACTTTTTGTATTTTATGTACTTTTCTGTTTTTCTTGATTTTAATAAACATTTACCCGTATGCCCTAAATTGGAGCAGGTCGGGGTATATTGGCAAATAAAAACAAACTTAAAATAGAGACGTCCAAGGCTGAACTAGATTACTTTTCCACTATCATTTAATTAATTCAAGTTTGCACTATTCCTATCAGACGACGATTCGCATTTCTATTGTTTTAATCTGTAACTGACTGATCATTGATGGATTTTCAGTAGTAAGTAAGCGAAGGGAAGTGACGTCAGTTTAGGCATCTCTGCATAGTCTGCGTTAATTATTTATGCTATCCCTGGAACCATCCTGATAATTCGATCAATAAATCTATAAGTTATTTAGGCTTTTCTTCCTTATTTTGGGCAAGGTTATATCAATTTTTATCCGTTTGAAAAAACAATCTGAATTATGAAAGGGAACTAAAAAATGATTGAGCTTTAATGGGCTAAAAAAGTTCCAACTTCGATCGCTACGGCCCCTGCTGATTTTTTTCTGCTATACTGAATTAAAATTAAATGTAATCAGCAATGCCGTCATTAGCTCTCGAAAGGTTCCTATGAATCAGAGGGGCGTGAGTTTATGTTTGTAAAGGCAAAATAGTTATGCACTCCTGGTTTTAATAATTTTACCAATCATTTTTATGGTAAAAAATTTAGATAGTATATCAAAACCAAAGAAGCGGTGATTTTGTTTGAATAAAAATATGTAATTGCTGTAAATTAAATAACGTTCTAAATTAAATAATGTTCAATGCGCTGAAATTTGCGTCATTCTTATTTTGTGGTAACTATAAATGATAAAGTGTAAAACTGCGTCGAGTTAACAGTTGCAGCCATGATTATGATTTCCAAATAGCCATAAAAAATTAGTCTTCTTGTCAGAATGAAACAGAAAAAGAGTACCGCAGTAAGATGTATGATTGCCTTGGACACTAATGCACATTTTGCATCTGTTATTTATGTTGTCTACTAAACTATCGAAAAGTACTGAGGGATATCCCCCCCTCTCTCAAATTGGTTTTCAGCTCTTGCACGGCTTGGAGAGAGCGAGGATTTAGATCCGGGGAGTACGAAAGCCATTGCATACGGACAATATCTTCACTTTCCAGTGTGTCCTATACCTCAGTACTCCTGAGTGGCCCAACACCTCCTAGAAGTAGGAAGGCCTGGGCACGGATCAATTTAGTAGTCCGATGTGACGAAGTTAATTGCGCAGTAGATGAAAAATAAGAAAGATGTCATTACGTTTGGGGTACTAAGCTGCGCAGTGGTTGAAAATACGAAGTATGTCATTACGTTTGGACTACTAAAGGATATTTATGGTAACCCGTGCCGTGGCCTGCTCTTTTCTAGGAGGTGTTGAGTGGCCCCGCATTGTCGTCCATAAACAGACAGTCAGGACCTTCCACACACCTAAAAAGACAGATTATGATTCAAAATAATCTCTCTGCAATACCACTGCGATGTAACGTTACTTTCCTCAAAGATGTGAAGCAGTGTTCGGCCATTGTACACGATGCCTGCAGACACTGACCAACACCTCCTAGAAGTAGGAAGGCCTGAGCACGGATCAATTTAATAGTCCGATGTGACGAAGTTAATTGCGCAGTAGATGAAAAATACGAAGTATGTCATTACGTTTGGGGTACTAAGCTGCGCAGTGGTTGAAAATACGAAGTATGTCATTACGTTTGGACTACTAAAGGATATTTATGGTAATCCGTGCCGTGGCCTGCTCTTTTCTAGGAGGTGTTGCACTGACACGCATAAGCCATAACGATCACGTTCATGAACCTATCCCATACAGCACAATTCCTTCAGTAGACTCCCAGAATTCGTCCCTTAGACAAAGAATATATATACACATTATATCTTCTTTGCCTTAGACGTCGTGGATCAAATATCGACGTCTGCTAGGCGTTTTCCTGTAGCTTATTGATGGATAATCCACAATCATTTAAGTGCAGACGTCTTATAAATAACTATGGTAGAAGTAATGTGGATAGAACACACAGTGGACCTTAGCAGACGTCTATGAAGCAACTAACAAAGCAACTAAGCAACAAAGCAACTATGAAGCAACTAACAACAACTTAGAATATTTCTCGCAATCGAAAATTAGACATGGGATTGAAGTGAAATGAATAGCTTGATGAATAAATACATTTAATAAATGCTTTTTACATCGATTTACGGGGGCCTCCCTGGCCGAGCGGTATCGCCGGTCCAAACGCTCTGTTAAGCGTGAAGGTAGCGGGTTCGAATCCCGCCGTAACCCTGGATGTATTCTTTGTGATGTCTTTCTCTGAATTGTTCTATCTGTATTTTCTACTTGACAATGACTTATAAGCCTATATTGAGCACACAAGTCAGCAAATGTATGTAATTTCAATAAATCAATCATCGATTTACAATTTATACATAATGTGTTTTATTTAAATTAGGCATCAATTATTTGCGATGCGCTTAGCTCAAAAACAAAATGGCACAATTCGTTGAGAGTAGGTAATTATACTACTGAATCCAAGTGTTTGATTTTAATGCGGTAAATGAGTAATATATATATGAAGCATCATTATAATTTATATATGAAGCATCATTTGAGCTAATATACCATTTTATTGAGTTATTTTCACGGAATTTGTTACAAGTCTATCTTCTATTCGTCTACATTCAGTATTTGTCGTCAAATGAAGTATTATGTGATTACCTCTTGTTTTTTTTTATTTATATCTGTTATCTACCTACTTTAGGAATATCTGGCGTCAGCAGCAGGACTGCGAAATCTGCCATTGAGTTGCCTACATTTTTAAATGATTTATCAGAGTGAAAAATTTGTTCTTTTTTCAGAATATGGCTTCTGAAAATATTGACGAGTTAAAGAAACTCTAATAGAGGGTCGAGTATTATTCTCTAAAGCTTGCAATGATTTTGACGCAGAAGAGTCTAATTTATGTAGTGATGACAAGTTAATTAATTAAACTTGAACTCATTGAATAAGAAGCGATCTTACTGATTGTTAAAAGTTGTTAATTACTTTTTATGTAAGCTAAAGGTTAACTTTTGTTTTCTGTTAAAACTGCCGAGTTGCCATGGCAACGTTTTTCTTCTTCTTTTTGTGGAACAATAAATAATCATCTGAAAATTATTATGTAAATAAAATGTTGTTCTTTTATTGGTAGAAGTTTTATTATTTAGTCAAATTTATTATTTAGATTAGAAGTAGAGAACGACAGAATAATTTACTTTCTGATAGAGTCTCGTAACATTTTGGTGACCCGGACGTGATATTAAGAAGTAATCCGAACTTGCATATGAAGTATTTTCAATAATACAATGGATAAAATTCAAAAACAACGGAAGATTGTTCGAAGCTCCTTCACTCGGTTAAGTAATCAGATTTTAAATGGAATAAAATCAGACGAAGCCAAAGATTTGGTGGACGTTAAAGCTAAATTTGAAACGCTGAAAATAAAGAAAGAAGAACTTCAAAAGTTGGATAACGAATTATTGGAACTTATGCTGCAATTCGATAATACTGTTACAGAAGAAGAAATTGAAAATAAAAGTGAGTTAATTGATGATTATTGTAATAATTATTATAAAGTTAAAACAATTTTTGACGAATATTTTAAAGAGCTTAATGAAGAAAATTCATCGATAAACTTAGAACAGCTGAATCGTAAATTCAAACTTCCTAAAATTGAACTTTCCAAATATGACGGTAGTATAAAAGGCTGGTTATCATTTTGGTCAATGTTTAAGAAAATACAAGACGATCCATCTTTAGATCTTGGCGACAAATTTCAATATATTATACAGTGTACAATTGACAATTCTCGTGCGAGAGAACTTGTTTTAAGTTATCCAGCAACAGCCGAAAATTACCCAAAAGTAATTGAAAGTTTTAAAAGTAGATTCTGCAAGGATGATGTTTTAGTTGAATTTTACATTCGAGAACTCTTGTCTTTAGTGATACAAAACTCTATATCTCAAATGTCTATTTCACTTTCTTCTCTGTATGACCAAATAGAATCACAATTGAGGACTTTGGAATCATTAGGTACAACCACTAAAATGTATGATGCAATTTTATTCCCGTTACTGGAGTCATGTATTCCTGAGGAGCTTCTTGGAGTGTGGCAAAGACAGTCAAAAATTGGCGACACTCCGAAAGATAGACTTGATGGTCTGATGTCATTTATGAGAAGTGAGGTAGAAAGTGAACAGAGAATTTCGATGGCTGTTGGCGGTTTTGACTTCAAGAAGCCTAAATTGACGAAAGACAAAACATCGCCAAATGCGCATGATAAAGTAGTACCAACTGCAAACGATTTATTTTCTGGTAACGAGAAAAAAGAAAAGTTAGCCAATTGTATTTTTTGCCAAAAAGTACATGAAAGTAAAGATTGTTTTTTGGCAAGTAGGATGTCTTATGAAGAAAAACTAGAAAAGATAAAACAAGAAAAAGCTTGTTTTTGCTGTCTTAAGGTAGGACACCTATCAAAAGCGTGTAAAACATTTGTAAAGTGCATCAATTGTGGGAAAAAACATTGGGTTGTGATGTGCGCTGAGCTCAAAATCAACCAGAAGTCGCAAGAAGTACAGAGAAATGACAATGGAAAAACTTCTTTATCTAGTACAAGCTGTTCTGGAGAGGTTCTTTTACAAACTTTATTAGTGAAGTTAAAATCAAACACACTGATAGACACTGAAATGAAAACCAGAGAAAATTTTATTGCCGGTGAATCAGAAACACATATTGATCGTTGCGTCTTTTAGAACAGAAACTTATAAAATTTGCAAGTCTTGCGAAATAAGATTCTGTATTTAACGAGAATGCTTTGTCAAGAAATACGTTAGCCTAAAATTCAACTTCCAGTTTTTAATGAAGATATCAGAACCTTGTTAGGTTTTGGGGACAATTTCAAATAATTGATAAAGATCCTATTGTGGATAATCATGATAAATGTTCGTAAATATCACAAGCCATGGTGAAAGGAAGCATTGCTGAGGAGTTATTTAAAAGTTTTCCTCCTGGTGGATATTGTGCTATGAAGAAGTTATAGGCCAACTTAAAAGCAGATTTGGAAGAGAGGAGCTATTGATTCAAGTTTATGTAAGAGATCTACTTTCTCTTATCCTTCAAAAAGATTGCAATCAAAGAAAATCGCTGAGAGGACTCTATGATTTGTTAGAGACTAAATTAATTGTGTTGGAGACAGGGGCGGACTAAGGCCTAAGCAACCTAGTCACGTGCCTAGGGCCCGTAATTTTTGGGGCCCGAAAATTAGGTTTTTAATTTTTATAATTAAATTTTATTTTTATTTAACAGAAAAACGAAGCATTTGCAACGAAGGGTCAAAACAAATCACAAGAAAATTAACTATTGCCTCCTTCTTCGGAACAATTAATAGCGGGGAACAAATTAAAAGAGATTGGTTGGCTTATACTGAAACCAACAACTTATTGTACAGTTACGTCTGTAAATTATTTTCCAAGCAAACAACGCTAATGACAAAAGGGACGAATGATTGGAAAAATGTACATAAAAATTGTCAGAGCATGAAAACTCCTGTGACCACATTAATTCCATTTTAATTATTATAACAAGATCTAAAATCCCGACCACTGTTCCGTTTTTAGGAGCGAGGTTATCGCAATCGATGATGGACTTGCCTCAATACTGTCTCTTTCAATTCCGAAAGAGATTTGGATCCTTACCGACAGTTCAGCACTTGGCTAGCTGGCACAGAGTGAGGGACAATACTAGCACGAACATCCTTCGTAAACTTTTACACCTTTCCAAATATTGTCGAATTCATGTACAATGGATACCCTCACACGTAGATATATCAGGCAATGAAATGGCAGATAGTCTTGCCAAGGCAGGTGCAGCTGAGGCCACTGCGCCTCCAGTGTCTCTTACCTCCTCAGAGCTCTTCTCCATTGCTAAAGCCAAAAATAAATCAGCATGGCTCACTCCACCCAGTCACAATTGGTACCAGATCGGGTAGCTGTTTGACAGCTGACGAAGATCGTCAGTCTCAAACCGCCATCACACGTCTCCGCTGTGGACACCTGAAATCACTGAGGTACTCTGGAGGAGAAAAGGGCTTTGCCCTCTGTACCAAGTGCTCTTCGGCCCAAGCATCCCCTGAACATCTACTGGACTGCCTCGGTCTTTTAAAACAAGACCTTATTGAAAGACCCTTACTTGTTTTAGACTTTTTGAAGGTGAACAATCTCATGGACCTTGTCTAGCTAGGCTAGGAATGGGGATTTGAAAGAAGAAGAAGATCTAAAATTACCGGAAACATTGACACTGAACTGGAAAAACAAATTATAAATGAAAAAAAAAATATTGGAGGGAAGTACTTAAACGTGTAGTAGCGACAATCAAATTTATTTCTTCATACTCTTTTGCGTTTCGTGGTAAAAATGAAAGTGTTTTTTTATTGAAATTAATTATAATTATATTGGTGCTTTGGAATATTTATCCGAGTTCGATCCATTTATGCGGTAATACATGAAAAAATATGCAAACTGCGGCACCGGTATTATAAACTATTTGTCGTTTACAATATGTGATGAGTTTATTTCTACTATATCGAAAGATTTACAACTCACAATAGTGAACGAAATAAAGGAGGCCAAATTTTACTCTTTAATTATTAATTCAACATCTGATATATTTCACGTAGATCAGCTGACCGTCATTATTCGCTATATGTTCTTCCAAGTGGTATAAAAGAAAGAGTTTTGGGATTTCTACTGGTGAAAACTTGGAGAAAGTTATTTTAGAATTTTTAAATAACATAGATTTACAAATCACTAACTGTCGGGGACAGAGTTATGATAATACGTTCGATATGTCAAGTAAATATAAAGGACTCCAATCCAGAATAAAACAACATATTTTTCTGCCCATCTTATACCATGCGCAAATCATTCAATAAATTTGATTGGAAACGCTGTTGCTGAAAGTTGCATGGAAATGACCACTTTTTTCAATATCGTTCAGGATTGTACGTATTTTTTTCAAAGGTGGAATGCATTACAAAAATTTTGTAAGAGCAAAAACTTGAGTATTAAACCTACTCGTGACACCAGGTGGTCTGCTCGTTCCGATGCTGTGAAATCCTTAAAAGTATAAATTATGAAGAAATTAAACATTGTTTACGCCATTTTTCCTCAAACAAAGATGAAAAACTATTAACAAGGTCCGAAACTGCCGATTTACACAAAAAAAAAACTTTATACATTTGAGTATGTACTGTTACTTACTATATGGGAAAAGATTTTAGAGATAATAGATGCTTCAGACAAGACTCTTCAACAAAAAGACGAATCCCTAAATACAGCAGTTTTAATCTATGATTCATTGATAGATTTCATGCAAACTGTTAGAGATGATTTTGACAATTTAGAAAAAGAAGCAGAAAAAGTTAAAGATATACCAATGATAAAAAACGGCAGAAAATACGAAAACTATTTCATGATGAAATTCCAGAACATGAAATAAGATTCAGGGGCAAAGAATGTTTTAAAGTTAATATTTTTTTGTTGTTGCATGCAATTCTTTAATTAGCAACATTAAAAAAAAGATCTGAGGGATATAAAACTATTAACAATAAATTCAAAAATTTTTTTCATGATAGTGATGTTAGTGACTCTTCAATAGAGGAATTAAAATGTTATGAACAAGATTTAAACCTAGCAGAACTGAAAAATGGAGTATTACAATTTAAGACTTTTATAAGTAAAGAAAACATTATTTCGCCTGTATCCATATGGTCATTTATTCAGGAAAATAATATTATTGCAACATTCCCTAATTTAAACATAATTCTGAGAATTTATTTAACCCTTCCAATAAGTAATGCAAGCGGTGAAAGATTATTCTTAGTAATAGCCAGAATAAAAAAAAATTTAAGATCCACATTAGGCCAACAAAAATTAAATAGCTTATCATTACTTTATATAGAAAAAGAGTTATTAAATAAATTGACAAGTTTGCAGAACTAAAAGTGAAAAAAAGGCAATATATAACTAATCAATCTGGGTATATTTGTTTAAGTATTATTGTTTGTTTTAATAAATTATGTTTATGCTTGTTATAATAAATTATGTTTATTTAATTTTTGTACATGTATATTATTTTTTTCCTGGAATCCGATAACTAAATAGAACTACATACGATATGCTTTAAAACCAAACAAAAGTATGCGTCATGACTGAAAAATAGGCCCGGAATTACAATGTTGCCTAGGGCCCGCTTTAGCCTTAGTCCGCCACTGTTTGTGTGCAATCAAATTTCGAAATCGTCAAAAGTGTGCCACGACAAAAAAAGGTTGAGAATCACTGATTTAGAACTTATGAGTAGAAGAATTTGAAGAATATGTAACAGTTTTATAAAAGTTTGCTTAAGGGCACTTTTTCAGAAGAGTCATTCTCCAGTCCTATAACTTATCTTGGTGAATAAGTGGAGCCTTCAACTAATTTAAATAAAATTCCTCTTTTATTCTTTCTTAGGTCAGACCTTCGATTTCTCCCAAAAGTGTATTCATAATTTGCAAGATATTATATTAAACAGGAAAAAATTAGATTTTTTTTTCATTTGTAAAAAGCGCTACTCGCAAAAGTTAAACTTTAAAATTGGAGGACAGATTTTAATGATTCTCGTTAAATAGACATTAATGTAAATTTAATCATTTTTTTTTCTTTTGTCACAAAATTATCTTAAATTACTCTAAGCCAGTGCTTCAATTTATAGGAAAACACAAATTTAAACAATACAAATATCAATACATTAGTTTAATACATCCAGCATATTACTTACCAACTGAAATTTGTTCACATCTTTGCAACTAACCTGTAATAATTTAAAAATAATTATTTTTTGTTGAAATAATAAAAAAATAATTTGACAATACTGCATGTTTCATAAAAGTAAAGGTACATTTTAGAGATCGGTATTTTGTACGTAATACAGTACAGAACCCGTTATTCAGAAATCAGCAAACCAGAACGAAATTCAATAAATTTTAGCGCCATTTTTTTTTAAAAAAAATGTTTTTTTCCTCATAAGATTTTAAGATTTTTCTTTTTTTTTTTGATGTTTACCTTACCATCATTTTGGAAATAATCATTAGTGTATTACTTTGTTTTTTCAAGATTTTTTTCCAAATATATTTCCAAATATTTTTTTTTTTTTTTTAGTTGGGTTTAACAATAAAAAAAACGGTTTTTTGTAGCGATTCTGAAAACCGGAAAAATCAGTTATCCAGAATAGCGATGGTCCCGATCGTTCTGGATAATTGGTTCCCTACTGTATATAAACAAATACATACTTTGAAAGGACAAATCATGGAATTAATGAGTACATTTAGGATTCATACCTTCCAAACTACAAAGTTCGTAAAAGCCTTAAAACTTATAAAAAATAATATTTTAATAATCTCAATTTTATATATTAATATTTAACTTTACTTTAAAACTTTAGACTTTACTTTAAAAAACTAGATGACTTTACTTTAAAAAAAAGATATACACAAGACTGAAAGAAAGATGCACATAAAACGTAATAAAACATTTAAAATTTTTACTCTGAGCTAGCTTTTTAAAAATTAAGCAGGTCACAAAAGACCTGTGACCAATTGATTATTTATTAATTACTCCATTTGATCACATTTTAAATTTTACACAATGTCAAATACACTGACAATAAAAAATTAATGGACTTTGCTGAAAGCAAAATAGCTTCACTAATCTTAAAACCATATGCAAATAATAGTTAAAAAGCAAAGATTTCTTCTTTATACTTTGAAGCATACAAATCCCTAAAAACAAAGCTGCATAATTTGTGCCACGAACTTCAATAAATTTTTTATTAAAATATAAAAATTATATACATTCTCAATTAAAAATTATAAGAAACAGCCAAGTTCAAAAACACTTTAGAAAGACTGAAAAAAAAAATACCACAGTGCTAAGTTTTCTGTTTCCAAGATGAGCACGAACCAAACATTTATATTCAGAAGCAGGGGGCAAAGGGTTTTTGGCCAGCTTTGATGGACGAGGATTAGGTTTTGTTCTGCCATCATCTATAAAAAGAAAAATAACAATTTCAAAATTTAACACTTGTCATTTTAGAGCAGTACATTCCTTTTAAGAATTACTAATGCCATACTAAGAAGAGTCTATTACTAATGCCTTCCTTCTTACTATAGCTGACAAATCTCCGATTTTTGCAAGAAATTTTATTTTCATAATTAAAAGGATATCAGTATGAATACATTGATATCTTTATCGGAACTGATTTCTAATGCATCTGCACCCAATGTTTAGTGATTTCTTTTATTACTACTTTTATAGGTGCCACTTTTGTCACATGCCAAAAGAGAATCCAATATTGCAACCCAATTTTATTTGAATTACCTATTTTATTTACTTTTATCATGGTCATTTTTAACACGAAACATTCATTACATAAATAACTACGGATCTATATCAAATCCCACCCAATAGTTTTGTTATGCACCAGTACCCAATGTCGAAAATGGTATCTTATATTGCAATTTTAAAAAATATTAAGTACCAATGCCATATGTTTACTTAAAAAATATGGTTTTACTTAAGGTAATGTAAAAATATCAGTAATACAAAGTAATACAGTAATACATATAATTTAATAAAAATTATAATGAAAATTCCTAATTTTTCTTCGGAATTCTAGATAAAATCCGTGTTCTTAAAATAGATTAAACCTTCACTCAAATACTAGTCAAAATGTTTTCTTACATTTACTTATAAATTATTAAATCATGGGGAAAAAAAATTTTTTTTTCATGTGCGTTTAAGTGAGTTGTTGTAGTTAATTTACGTCGCACTAGAGCTTCACAATGGGCTATTGGCGACGGTCTTGGAAACATCCCTGAGGATGATCCGAAGACATGCCATCACAATTTTGATCCTCTGCAGAGGGGATGGCACCTCCGCTTCGGTAGCTCGACGACCTGCACGCGAAGACGAGCACTTCACGGTAGAACAGTTTAACGAGGCCCAATACCGCACACCCTCGGTCCCTTCGCAAACTAATCCAAGTGGTCACCTACCCGCACACCGACCGCAGCCAGTGATGCTTGACTTCGATGATCTGCTGGGAAACGTGTCTTAACGATCAGTCCACTGCGGGACTGTGCTTAAGTGAGAGGACAGTACAGTAATTACATTTTCCTATGAAATTAAAATTTAAAACAGTCACTAAATTTATTTTTTTTAAGATTTTTTTCCTTACTTGTCATCGATTTGTACACTTTAAAGTATGGTCTAAATGTAAAAATTATCAACATCAAATTAATTATGAGATAAATTTTTTCTAATTGTCTTAGGCAAAAGTTAATGTTTTGAGAAAATCACTAACATTGCAACTAAGCAAGTGATAAATAATAACAAAACATTTAACTTTCATCTTGAAAGCAAACCCTGCTATTTTATTATCTCATTGATTCATGAATAAAAATTGTCCAAATAAGTCCTCGTCCAGAATAAGATCAACACACTCTTTATTCGGTTTATTATTAATATCATTGTCTATAGATCTGACATTAACTTCCGCTAATAGGGAATGAAAAGCCCATCTTCGCTTTCATCTAATGTGTTGGAAATATTGCAATGCTTTATACTGCAATGCTTGAGATCCTCTCTTCAGAGATGGCTTCTTGAGGCCCAATCCAAAATGATTAACCTCCGAGCATTATCCTCATTTGGACCTCAAATCCTCCTTAGTCAACTTTCCATAAGGTTAGCTGTCATCCATACAAAGCAGGTAACTTTAATGTCTGGTATTTTTAGGCAATTTTAAAAAAGGATTCCAAAAAGCGATTACTCCTTTTACTCCATATCTCTTCCATTCAATTCCACCCCCTTTTTATTCACAGTTTTCTTCCCCTGTTAGAACATTTTGAAGAGCTCTCCCATCTGCAACCCCACCTTAAAATTTCCCCCTTACTTGTCGAGGAGCACACATAAAAAACACAACCTTGGCCTACATGCAGCATGGAGGAAGTGTTGATCACATGTGCAGAGGAGTACTTCTTCTTCTCTTCTTACTGGACTTTACAACACCTGCCCTTTTGTTAGCAATCTTCATTTCAGTCACTGTGATTGATTGATCCTCTTTCTTTCTCCCGACTCATTGCTTATTAATGATATAACATTAATCTTCTACCCTAAACATCAGAAAAAATTACTTTTAGAAACAAGTTCTTTAAGAAATTCTAAAAAAAATTTGTGTTAAAAGAAAGGGGGCACTTTTTTGGTACTGATTGAAAATCAGTATTTGTGCGAAACAAGAGAGGCGCTTTCTGGAGTGGGGGCGTTTTATTGGTATTTTATGGTAATTGATTAATTAGTTGATGCTATGATTGCATTTCTCTTTCGTCCATTAACCTATTTACCACGATTTCCTCTTACGCATCTTATTTAAAAACTACACTATTGAAAACATTTAACTTTTTGAAAATTATAAGCTACCAAACACTGTATCAAATTATGAAATATGCTGCAAGATCAAATCATTGCAATAAGAGTTATATAAAAGAATAATAGATTTTAATATTTAAAATTACACTTACATCTCTTCATTGTGATACATACAGAGCCAGTATTCCGAGCCTTTTGAAATAATCTTGTTAATTCACTAAGGAACTAGAAAATAAAAATTTTTTGATTAGTGCAAATCAAAAAGGGAGTAAAAAAACATTTCTTCATTATACATTTGAAATAGATTCAGTTATATGTTTTTAGAAGGCCAGTCTGCCCAGCTTATAAACCTCCTTGCCGCTTTTTTACTACCCTTTTATTTATTTTTTAAACCACCTGTTTCAATGAAATGCTCAAAGAAAACACCACCCTCCATCAGACCAAATGAAACTTGATCTGTGATGTCCACAATAGATTCGTCTATAAATGTTGTAAAAGAAAAGCAACCATTATACTTCCTGGAAAATGCGGAATTCGTGCGTGGTTTCAAACACCTATTTTCTATTTCAGAATGTTTTTATCTCTTCATAGCGGAGAAAATGGGAGTGATGGGGAAAACCGATTTCTATCTCCATCAAACTTCATTTCTATTGATGCACAAAATAAAAGATCACACTTTGCTTCAATAAAATAGTTTCATAAAAAGAAGTTTCAACGTTTTACTATTCTAAATTTGAATCTTGTCTCAAATGTGATTTTCCAGATTTGTTTTTTTTTCTCTGTATTTTTTAAGACCAAAATAATATTAATAAAAAAACATAAAAATATCAGAAAAAAAATTATGAAAAAGAATAATCAGATAAAATCAGCTTTAGCTATAATTAAGTTGAGTTTACTTTATAACTAAAAGTAAGGATTGTTCAATATAGAACATGTAAAATTGCTATTGTATGGAAAATTATTTTTGTTTCTGAAAGAAAATTTCAGAGTTCTTTTTTTCTGTGCCTTTCTTTCTTCTTTTTTTTTTAATTCACTATATTCAATGCAAAATGAAACTAATTTTATTAACCAAGCACATCATTTACTGCCGAAAATCCTTGCTTGACTTCATCCACTCAAATAGACATCCACCTGCATGATTATTGATATCATTTTTCTATTTCATGTTACTTTTTAAAAATTAGGCTATTAGTTTCAATGATTTACAGATTTTTATATTTGAATTTAAGTAAGCAAATATGCACAATATAATTTTCAATCCAAATCATATATATCTGTTCAAGAAACTGATGAATTTGAGAGCATTTAAATTTCAATCCTAACCCATCTTCGCGATTAAAGATTAATCTCAAATATAATTTTTTTTCTTAATTCCTTCAAATTTATATATTGTAACTAGTAAATGCAACTAAAATCTAAAAAGTGGAAAGTAGAATTGTTTAGCTACAAATATTAGTTTAAATTTAAACATATAAAATTTAATTTAGTACAAAAAGTTAAATAAATCTCTTCATATTTACTCTTTTAAAAAAAAACTTCATATTTTACTTCTGTACAGAATATTAAAATCTACTTAATCTATTATAATGTTTTATTTTTTAATTGGATAATATTTTATTTTTCTAAATAAATATGTACTCATTTAGATAAATTATCAGTACAGTGAAACCTCCCGGAAACACTACCTCTGTATAGCGACCTCCTCTATTTAAGATCCCTTTTGGCAGGCATGGAATGTTTTCCATAAACTTTATGTTGAAGAACAAATTTAACAGAGATCACCAAAACCTCTCCTAGCAACCACACAAACTTCTACACCAAATGCGGAAAATGTGAAGTAAAAATATCAACAAACCAAATTAAGTTGATTCAAATGACGATCTGTCAAAGAGAGTGTCAACCTCATGTTGCAGTCAAAATGCAGTAAAGATGATGAAATTAATGATTTAAATTAAGAGCTGAAAGTTTAGCTAGAAATTTAAATAAAAAAATAATAATAATTAGCAAGCCAAACAAGCCTCTGCCCTTAAAGTAAACTAATTTGTATGATATAAAATAAAATAGAAAATTAGACAAAAAACACAATTTTTTATTTAATTAAAATAGTTCTATTATTCATAATTGATAAATTTGTTGTTACACATAACTATATCAGTAGGGGTCATTTTAATAATACTTCATACTTTTCATAAAAATTTTGGGGAGCACCTTGAAAGTTGAAATTTCATACTTAGCACTAAAATGATATTTTTATGTACTTCTAGGAGGAAGATAAACATGGAATTTCAGATAGTGCCAACTACAGAGTTTTATTTTTATCTTTAAAATCTGGCATTTAATTTTTTAGGTGAATTGAAATATCATTGAACAATTTTATGCAATTTTGAAAAAGATTAATTGTTATAGTACTTCTGTAATAAGAAAGAAAAATCAATCAAGAGAAATATTGTCAATTTAAAAAACACCGATATGATCAGCTGTTTCAAAAATTGTCCTTATCCGAGATAAATGTTTTATCACAAGAATATCAGTGCATATATATAGTTTTAGCCAATACGAAATATTTTTAAGTTCATGAAACAAGACTTTCATATTATTAAAACGACCCAAAATAATGATTAAGAAAAGTAATAATAATATTTACAGCTTCGTTTTCAATTAGAACCATGATTAAACTGTTTTCATTTCTTGTCAAGAGCCCCAGATATTTGACTGTAATATATACAGAGAATAGAAGAAAGTTCGATTAAATAACAAATAGTGAAAAAAAATTCCCGATCTCCGCAGAACTCGTCATCAAAACGTGTACCTGTAGCATTGATATGCTTGAGCCTGATCAGGTAGAAATTTTATCATTTTGTTATCTGAAGCATTTTCAGCGTTTAGAAAAAGAAAACTCGGAGCTTGATGGAAATAAAAATAATTTTTGGTGCAAATTTTAGTGTTTTTATTACCAAAAACTATCCAAATAGATAGGATAATCTCAATATTGATTGATTCCTATAAAAGCTATAAGCTTAATTCTAAGTATGCCAATATTTACATCAATCAAACAATTCCTTGTTTCCTGCTGCTCTGTGTTTTAAATTTCAAAATTTATTGCAATGGCGGTAATCTTTAGAAGTTTGGTAATTTTCTATGCTACTTTAACGTTATCATACTCTACTTCCTTAGGTACCTATTCTTCTCATATTTAATAGTAAGAAAATAAAATTGAATGACCTATTAATAGTATTATAAGAGTTTTCTTTGTTTATCTCGTTAATCGTAAATACAGGATTTTGTCAAGCTCTTTTTACTCGAGTTTGATGAACAAAAAAATAGTTTTTTTTCCATCCAAAAAAGAGAACTATTTTTTTAATATCTTAAAATATTCGTAATTTCACTATTTACATATTGTAAATTCTCAAAACTTAATATTAAATTTTTTACTTTATTTTTTAAAGCTACATCTTCAATTTAAGGATAAGAAAATGATATTTACGAAAGCTAAATTAACAGCCACTAAAAATGTTATTGCTCAGAGACCTATGAGCTAATATTACCTAAAAGATTTATGTTAATAAGAATCCATTATAAGGTATTCTTTAAAATATATATATATTGTTTCGATAAATTTCTGTCTAACGTTTTAAAATCTTAAATAAAAATATTTGCATTTATTTGTATTACTTTCTTTAGATGTTCCAATGGTTCAGTTGTTACCTAATGAAATAGTGAATAAAAACAATGACACAGAGCTTGTTGTATATTGTTTTGACAATGTCCCTAAGTCATTTCTGCAAATTTGGAGAAGTGTTCAAGTAATTTTTTTTTTTTTTTTTTTTTGTAATTTTTTTCACTGTTTGTTTAATTAATAAATGTATAAAATTACGAGTGATTGGTATGTGAATGAATGTGTATATTTAAATATGTAGCCAAAATTACCTACAATTTTCATTCAGGCGATTCCTTAATCTTAAAAAAGCATCAGTAAAGTGAAATTTACTTGCAATTTTATCCCAGGCGATTGCACTTAGACTTGAAGAAAAGACAAAAAACGGTGAAGATATTAAGTTGAAGCCTTTACTCTCTTAGTCAGTAGGTAGGTACATTAGACTTTTCTCTGCAAACATAAGTTCAAACCAAATACCATATTGGTATTCATGATCACAATTGTCGGTAAGAAAAACAAAATGTGTGATAAAGGGGGGCAGACGCATGACAAATCAACTCTGAAATATTACTGCAAATTTATTACAAAACGTCTATAGTTCTCATGTATGCCCTTTCATAACATTATTTTGCATACCATGAAAATCCTAATGGTAAACCTTCGCCATTCTGGCCCATTGACCAACTATAAGCACATACAGGCAGTAGAAAATATGATTTAATATGTTATTATTTAATTGTTCTTGATAAAACTTGTTAGTAAAATTAACCTTTTTAAATACTAATAGACAATAAATAATACAATTTGAGTTAAAAATTGTATCGGCATGGTCTTTTTTTAGAAAAGTATTGAGTTGACAGGTATTTTCATAAGAAAAATTAAGCAAAACTATAAAATCTCATTCATAATGTTTTGATATTTCAAGTAATAATTGTTATAAAATTTAATTAATTAATAAAATTTCTAATATTTTTTATCAATACTTTTTATTTTGTTGAGAAGATCAATTATCTAAAAGATTAATAATCTTTCCAGTCAGAGCATACATATTTTTAAAAAAATTATTCATGAGTTATTTTAATAATTCTGAACTTTTTTTTAAAGTCCATTTTTCTATGGTATTATTTACTATTGAAATAAGTTTCTGCTTTTAAACTTTTTTCTCCTCTGCTCTTTAAACAAAATATGTTTTCTGATAGCTGCTTCTTGAGAAGGCACCAACTTCTTATGAAATTTTTACTGGGGAAGATCCTTCTGTGGTGCTTAAGAAATCAAATGAAAAATCAATGTGGAGTCCTTCATCTTGGTTTTATAGTCAGAAAACTACAGTGGAATTTCCAGCATTTTCTCCATATTGTGTTGGATTCTCATCAAGAGAAAACTATGATTTGTTTCTAAAAGTACGAGGTTGGTAAGATTTTTCACTGATTAAATAAAAATTATAATATTACATTGCAATTTTTGAGCAACAAATAGTGGTTAGGCCAAAAACCAGATATTTATCATCTTGGCTGAATTTTCGATCACTAAGTGTCATTTTTTTGTCTAATAACAAAAATAGTATGCATTGTAGGCACAACTCTTAATATTTAGCAATTGAAATCTATTATAAATTGTATAATATTAATTATTTATGTTTCTAATAGGCATATTACCTAATATTATGCCTATTGGAAATTATTTGGAAACAAATTTTACAAGCATTGAATAAAGCTTGAAAATAATCAATTTAAAAAATAAAGAACCATTCTGAGTTAAATTATCCAGCCAAAGTGCAATTTATAACCCAAGGTCATTGAATCTTATGTGAATGAATTGTTTACATTGATATAAGAACAACTATACAATTTTATTTTTTTATACTTTATTATGAAATAAAGCTCTTTAAAAATTTGTCGAAAATACATAAAAAGTGATGAATTGCTTTTTAACAAACTTAGATACTGGTGCAATTTTTGCTATAAATTGTCGTTTTTAAAAATAAAGTACTATTATTATTATCAGTTAGCTCAGAATTAAATTGTGCATTTAAATATATTGTCACATATTATACTTAAAGCAATTAAAATAGCTTAAAAAATAATCAACACAAGATAATGATGTGCTAATTAAATCATTGACTTTGCCTTCAAAAACTGCTCAAAAACATTTGTCTAACTCTGAACCTATTTTATTACCAAGAACTAGATAAATAAAAATTATACAATGAAATTAATACAGTTTGGGTTCTTTACTAAGTTAGAGCCTATAAGTTGCGCTACATCTAAGTGCTAAAATCAGTTCTGTAGTGTTTAATTTCTAAATATAACTGCATGGTTTTCCAATATTTATGACTATTCTCATGATGCTATTGTTTCATGTAATGTCTTAAACTACTTTGACGGTACATAACATGTAATAATAAAATTAGACATTAAGTTGTGCAATTTATTTCTATCATTTAAATTGCCAATTTTTAAATAAAGTAAATTTTATTAAATTATTAAAAAAATCTGGAATAAACATTTAAAAAAATTTGGTCAATTTTTACAATTAAAAAAAGGGGGGAAATGAGAGCACTATGCCAGAGTTTACAAACTTATTTTGGCTAATCAAAATTGTACCAAGTAATACTTTCTTAATGAAATCAATTGAACACTTTTGTTTCGCTATCATGCAACACATTGTTCTGTTAAGGTTTCACTTGTAGTAATAAAACAAATCTCATTTGAAACTCATGTTTTTAATAAATAGTGTAGCTATGTTTAAATTATTCCACCGTAAGGTTATCTGCAAACTGGATATCTCACTGACAGTTAATTATGAAACTTAGAAAAAAATAATGTGTCATATTAAATGTCTGTGTGTATATATATGCATTTTTTTTTTTTTCAGTGGTGAATTACTGGAAAGTAATACAAATGATTGTTGGTATTGTTCTGTTTTTCAGTGCACCTTCTCTTAGCAGGTATTTTTCTATTTCTTCACTCATTTAAATAAGCATCATTCTGTATTGTGAAATATTTTAAGCATTACTTAATATATAAATGCTGGCTTTTTAATTTTATTCTGAAATTTTAAACCGAATGTATGTAATTACATATATACTTTTATCTGTACCGCGAGAAACTGTGGATTGTTATTTGTTTGTTTTCTGTACCAAAATGAACACTGTTTATTGCTAGAACATAGATTTTCAGCCTTTGTCATGTTTTTAAAAAAAATCGAATTTTTTAATTTTGTTTTCTTAGGAACTATTCAGTCAATTTACCTCAAATTTTGTTATTTAAAATTGTTATTTAATTATGAATTATTTTTTACTTGAAATTTTCTTTAGTTAAATAAATTTTATAATTGTGTGAAAAAATATTTCAATTCCTTTAAAAGTTCTTAAGATATAGCGAAATATGCAAATAGTGAAATTAACATTAAGGGGTACAAACTTTAGACAATTTTCCTATCTAAACTATTTGGACCGTAGTTTCAGGATTACTGCTATCTACCATATTTTGAGAGTAGAAAATCCAAATCCCTTAAAAAAAAAGGTATGTTTAGAGAATGTAGCTTTTTGTGCCTAGTTTTATAACTTATCTTTAAGTCTACTTAATATGCTTAAAGTGAGATCTGCTAGCCTTTAAAATTGAGTCCTAGTAGAGGAAAATCTGATTTTTTAAAAAAAATTTCAGAGCGTTCTCCTTTCTTTTCTTTTTTTGCACACTGTACTATGAAAGTGCAATTAGCAAGAAAATAACTTAAATTGATTCTTTGATTTTTATCTTTAGTCTCTCACATATTTCTAAAAATTGAGCAATTCCAGTTTTCAGGCTTACTCTGAGTTAAGTGAATATTCATGGTTTATATAATTAATTTTTTTTTCTTCCAGGAATCCATTTTTCCATTACACATCTGGTGTTTCTGTAGGAGTTGTTGCATCACTTCTTATTATTATTTACATAGTAGGACGCTTCATTCCTGGGGTATTATGCTTTTATTTGTTTGTATAAAATAAAATATCACCCTTTTCTGAAATTTCTGTATTTAATGTATTTAGTTTGGGGACAGGAAACATTTTAAATGAAAAATCTACTAATGCTTTTTTTTTCAAAAATATTTCACGAATAAGTTTAAGAACATAGAAAGATCTATTGATTAAAAAAGCTTTAAATATGGTTACAAATTTTGCCTCTTTAACTACACCCATCGAAACATTGCTGTGAACATTTTGTTTCTTCAGTTAAGCATGCATAGCTGTTTATAATTGTTTAATAATACCTAGAGCAATTTGATCACCATCTTTTGATAGGCTCAATCAACAAAAGAATGGATTGATAGGTCAGTATAGTTGCATATAGTTTCTGGAATACTACTAGCCTAGCAGAATTTGTAGTCACTTTATTGTCAAATAGCATTTATCTACAATCAAAATTCCAACTACTTTCCTATTACCCAGAGAGTTTGAATTTCAGTTGCACCTCTGCACCTGATGACAATGTTCAATCATCTTCTGACTGCTACTAGCAGACTTTATCATTAGTTTCTTCTCAAATAGAATTCATTATCAATCAAAATTCTGTCTACTTTCCAAGTACCTAGAGTCCTCGAATTTCAATTGCACCTTTGTGCCTGACAACTTTCAATTGTTTCTTGACCTCTGCAAGCAAAATTTATCGTCAATTTCGTAATTTTGAGCCAATATCAGGCTGCAAATGGTCTGTGAATACATTTTCTCTCTTTTCTTAATTTTCTTTTCTATCGCAAATTACAAGTCAACACCATATCGTTGCGTTTATTCAAAATGTTAATTCATGCCTGCTTTGTGTGTTGAGAAAACACTCTCCATGAGTTCTATATAAACAAGGTTTTATACTAAAAACTGAAATTAGAAAAAATAATAGAATAAATAAAATATTTAAATTGAAGATAATTTAAAAACTGCATTTTTCAAGATTCTAATAGTGGTAACAAAATTGTATTCTTTTCTGAACTAAGATGAAAAAAGTAAAGCATTATCATACTAAGTCTCTATCATCACTAAAAATTCTCCCCACCTCTTTCAAAAGTTATTTGCCTTGTGTTTTAATTTTAGGACAGATTAAAATAAAATTATATTCCATTTTAGTTCTGTTGGCAAACATTGTAGATCAAGATAAGTACAGTAGGGAACCGATTATCGGGACCATCGCTATTCCGGATAACTGATTTTTCCGGTTTTCTGAATCGCTACAAAAAGCCGTTTTTTTATTGTTAAACTCAACTAAGAAAAAAATCTTTGGAAATAATCTTAAAAAGAAGAAAAAACGATGAAGTAATACACTAATGATTATTTCCAAAATGATGGTAAGGTAAACATCTTTCAAAAAAGAAAGAAAAATCCTAAAATCTTATGAGGAATAAAAAAATGGCGGGAAAATTTATTGAATTTTGTTCCGGTTTTCTGATTTCCAGATAACAGGTTCTGTACTGTAATTAAAAAAAAAAATCTGGCTGTTTTTTCCATTTGTTTCATCATTCACACTCTCATTTGTTCACACTCTCAAATAATAATATTTTTTAAAATAATGTATGATTTTGTTTGTACTTTTTATTGGAACTGTGTTTTTTTTTTTCTTTTATAGAGATCTACATATGCATATGCAGTTATGGTTTTTGGTTATTCTTTTATCTTGTATTTATTGCAAAATGTGTGGCAACACTTCAATGATATTGTTTCTAACTACATGGATATTTTGTTGATTTATTGCCTGTGTGCTGCATTGATTAGCTTTATTGTGTGTTATCGCCTGGGACCTGTTGAAAATGTTCGCACTTTTAAGATCATACAAGGGTGCATGCAAGTATGTTATAGTTATTTCTAATTTTGCTAGTTGTAGTTATTTATGAACATTTTTAATCAATTTAGAGCAGTGTTTGTTGTTTGGTTTTATTTTATTTGTCACACATTAAAACTGTACAGTCATCCATTTCTTTTTAAATTATATTTTATAAACTAATGTAATGTTGTGTTATTTTGTAACTAAATCCATTGTTATAATGTTATTTTGTTAACTAAAATCATGAATTTTTGTAAATTAAAATATCTGAAAACATTGCTTTTGCTTACTAAAATTCAAATGGTGTAAAGTATTTTTCTTTTCAAATTATTCAATTTTAAATTTTTATTACAAATGTTGGAAAATAAATTTTTTTGTTGAAAGTTTTGTATAAATTGCAAATTAAATTTTTTAACAGTTTTTTTTTTTATTATTATTATTTTGAGTATAGCTATTTAAAGCAGAGTGCAAAATTTTCACTCAGCAGGTCATCATTGGCCAAAAAAATTTTTTAACTTTGATCTTTGAAGTATTGAATTTTAAACTATGAGGGTTGCTATTTATATTTCTGGCCTAATAAAGAAAAAACAAATATGTGGGATCGAAATTGTTTTTATTGTTTTTCAAAATATTCTCCATGATGATCAAAACACTTTTGCATGTGTTTGAACCAATTTTCAAAGAACTTTTTCCAGTTCGATTGAGGTAACTCCAAAACATGCGTTTTGAATGCATCAACCGCTTCTTCGGGGGTCGAAAATCGTTGTCCACGTAATTTATTTTTGATGTGTGGGAATAAGAAGAAGTCATTGGGTGCCAAATCAGGGCTGTACGG